TTTAGAGACAGGGCCTCGCTGAGTTGCTTAGCACCTCACTGTTGCTGAGGCTGATTTTGAACTCCTGATTCTCCTGTCTCAGCCTCCAGAGCCACTGGAAATACAGGCTTTGGTAACTGTAGGTAGGTGAGGCATGGCTGGAGGAGGTGGGTCACTGTGAAGTGCCCTGGAAGGGTTCATTTTCCCTCTGGCCCTTCTCCCCTGCCCTCTGTTTTCTGGCTGCCCTACCCAGGAGCTTTTCTCTGCCAGCCTTTCTGCCATGATGTTCTGCCTTATCTTAGACCCAGAGCAATGGGCCTGGCCGACTGTGGACTTAACCCCTGAAATTAGGAACCAAATAAGCTTGCTCTAAGATGTCTTTGTCAGGTATTTTGATCACAGAAACCAAAAGCCGACAACCACAGTTCCTTACCTGTCTGTGAATCCAAATGCAGCCCATCCTCCAAACCCTGCAATATGACCCCCTTTCACTCAGACTATAAGCCTGGGCTCCAGCTGCCCCCTACTCACTTCTTCAACCTGAGCCCTCCTTGCTGGGCTCAGTCAGGCTGGGCACACACACTGGTCACTCACTTGCCTTGGACATTTATCCCCCAAATCCCCTTCTCTAATGTCTCGCCTTCAAGCTCTCTAAGATGCCACCTTCTCAGTGACAACTCTGCTGATCACACCTTGCAGCACTCACCATCCCCCTTTCTTCGCATTCCTTCACTTTTCCCCCACAACACTTATACCATTTTTTAAATTAGATTTGTTGTACACTACCTCCTCCCACTAGAATATAAACTCCATGACATCCGGGATCGCTATATTGTGTATAGATATGTATCACCTGGAATATAGTCTGTCACATAGTACATACTCAACAAACATTTGGCAGATAAATAAATTCCCATGGGAGATAAATGCCTAATTAAGATCTACTAGAGAAAGATTAATCCAAAACAATATATATAATAATGATGACATCAATTTGATGCTGTAACACCAAAGTTATATATCAACTAAGTGCTATCGAGTGCTTTTTATAAACCAAGTACACACTAAGCATGGTTGTGGCAGTGACATGAATTTGCTTCTCCATGCATATCCTCGCCTTATAGTCAAGGTTACTAAGAAATTCATCTAAGGTCACAAGCAAGAAAATGATGAAGCAGGATTTGATTCACACAATTCTCCAGAGGAGTCACATTCTTTTTCTGTTTTCAGGGCTGGGGATTGAACCCGGGGCCTTCCACATGGTAGGCAAGTGCACTACCACGGAGCTACATCCCCAGCCTCAAGTACCCACATTCTTAACACTACAAGGGATACCTTCACCCATTTGGCATGGACACTCTTTCAGACTGGTCCCCTCTCTGGACACACACTCCATGTCGTTAGCGATCCAGTCTTCAGGCTCTTTCCTGGTCATACGTTCTATGGTTGCATTGGCATTTCTATGATCAGTCCATCTGAGATCAGAGTGTACATTTTTTTCATACAACAGGTATTCAAGACTATAAAGGAGACCCTGAATCAAAAATAAGATGGGAAAATGGATCAGATAGGGAAACCAATTTTGTCAGAATGACTTGTTCATTGGTGATGTGAGGGGAAGACTAAAGGCTAAAGGGGGGTTCCCAGGTGAGCAGGAGGTGGAAACCAATTTAAAAAGTCTATAAAGAATCTCCCAAGGTGGGTTCAAGGTATTGCTATGACAATTTGAAAGGTACATAAGAAATTTCTGGGTCTTGCTCCTTGCCTCTAAAATGTAAGCGAAACATACATTTCACTCACAGGAATCCAAGCAGGCTCTTAAAAATTAATAAAAAGAAATACCCAAAGCACGAGATGTTATCTTTATAATCAATAATTTGAAAAACTATCACAGTTAATTTTTGCTAATTTTCCTCTTCCACTAAAGAAATTAAGTGGCATTACTTCTTCAGTTATAATATATGTGGGTACATGAACCATCAGAAATATGTAACTGAGAGGCAGTAAGATTATTATTGCATATATTCCATTTACTTAATTCAGAAATAAATAGGGATTCATCATATGCTAAAAGCAGCAATTTGATTCACTCAAACTTCCTTTGAGGTCACTGGAAGTTACGCAGACCATAAATGTTCTCTGGTTCCTGGTTCCAATGGGAGATCTTTAATATGTCAGGAAGCAATTCAAGCTTAGGTTTTAAGGCTAGATGAAATAAATATGCTGTGATGAAAATAAATATGCTGGATGAAATAAATATGTCCATTCCTAGGGCTTCATTGATATTATTCACAAAAGAATTCAACCACAGAACATCAAAGGAGGAAGCATTCATCAAGAGATGAACAGATAACGGATAGAATATAACATATAATGATTTAAGTCAATAAACACAAATCATATCATAAAATCACATATATACATAATATATTAAATCATTAGATAAGCAAATGCTGCATGAAAGTAAGGAAAATTCATTCAAAAAAGTAAGCTTCACCTCACACGTCTAAGGAGCAATTTGTAGTACAAACCCAATTTCAGCATGAGATTGTACAGATGGCATGAAGTATAGTGTTAGTATAAGCACTAGCAGGAAATAATCTGGACCATGAATTCAGAAAAACCCTGTGATCTTACAGGTTTGAAATTAAAAAAAAAATCCAACTCCAGAAGACCCTAAGAATCATAAACCAATCATTTCCCTGTCCTGTCTGCATTCATAAGAAGGTAAGCCTTTGGTCTCATAATATTTAATTGGAATTCAAATTATCTCTCCTAAGTGACTTCAAAAAACTTCTGTGTCACTTGGATGGAGAAATATGACAGGAAGGTACTCAAGCCCCTCACCTGTTGTAAAAAGGACAGAAAGATGAGTAATTTTAAAATAAACATCCTTGCTGCTTATGCATTCCAGAGTTACTGCTTTAGAAAGTCTAGGGGAGATTCGAGATGCAGGCTAGAAGAAGCCTGCATTCCCAGTCACTCTGTGGCTCAGGATTTAAGCAGCAGGAGTACTGCTTCCCATCGAGGTGGGTGAAAGATGGATTTCACTAAAATTTATTATTGGACAGTCAGAGTGTCTTGGAGACTCAGAAATTTGGGTACACTAAATAAAGAAGAAAGTGTACATTGGAGCCAAGGCAATTGTGACAGTGGTAGTGGTGCTGGTTCACCACAGAGGGAGGAAGAAACTGAGATCAGAAAAGCAGCCTGAACTTAGCTGATCCAGAGGCTGCATCGCCAACTAGTATTTGAAAAGTGCTCTGTTTCTCAGCTGGCTGCCGAGAGCTAAGACGGGAGCCATCTTGAGGCGGCCATGCTGTAGCTGCAAGGGAGCAAGAAGATCAGAACAAACATTGATAGGCAAGTACCTGTCCTGTGGCCCAGGGTGTACCTAGCAGAATGGGAGTGAAAAAGGAACAGAGAAGATTGTACCCAAGGGGATTTCAGTCAGAAAGGTGAAGGGGAACCCAGCTTGCTTTTCTGAGTCTTGGCTCATGTGACCAGCCAAAGAAGTCTAGGAATCTGAACCGGTAAGTGTGAATATATTCAGGGAATAAGACTGAAAAGGCCTTGTTTATGGGCAGCAGTATGTGTGAAGGATTGGCTCCCCTGTTCCATGAGGCTCAAGAGATTCAGACTTCTGACTGAGCTCAGCAACTGCCAGGCCCTGGGGGTATATTGATCTCATCTCTCTGACACCACTCAACTAAGTCCCAAAGGCTGACTAGACTAAACTCCAGCCACAGAACTCCTCTCACAGAACTCTGTAACAGCCCCACCCTGGAAGTGCATAGATCTAGTCTGCGAAGACAAAATCCCAATTGACAGTACCTGTCATCCCATCCTACCTCATACTGATGATAAGGGAAACTGAAACATTTCAACCACCTTCAGCCTTGGGCCACTACACTGGGGCATCCTGGTGAGCAACACAAAAAGAAGTGGTTACCATTTCCCTAAACTGCCCCCCCCTCCTTAGTACATAACCCAAGAGGAAACCGGAAGAAAGACATTTGGGCATAGACTATGACAATCCATTCTCCTGTACTATTTTTGACCACCTCAGTGGAAATGATTCCTTCATTCATTAAGAATCTTTTTCTGTGTGTGTGTGTGTGTGTGTGTGTGTGTGTGTGTGTGTGTTTTCTTGCTGTGCTGATTGGTTCATGGACATATACGTATTTTTTCTTTTTTCTCATGTATAGCATTTTTTTAATGATGTTATTTTTCCTTGTTGTTTGAGAGTTAGGGTTTTTAGTTTGTGTATTTTGGGTTGTTTGGTTTGGTTTTTATTTATTTATTTCTCTTGTCTCACTCTCTTTTCTTCTCCTGCTAATAGCCAGATATCCTGGTTCTTTCTCTCTTTCTCTCTCCCTTTTTTTTCCTATTTTCTCCTCCTTTCTTCAAACTATCACCTAATACCTCTCTTCTGCAGTCTCTGTTCACTTTTTGAAATTATAAACTCCTATCACATTTTATTTTCTTTTAATTAACTGCATTTTTATCATTTTTTGGAACTGATGCATTTATACAACTCCTGTTCCCATCATTTATACTGTTGCAATTATTGCTGCTGTAGATGACAGCATTGACACCTGTTGTTGACTTTAATGTAGGATCCAGTTTATGGTTACTTATTATTTTTGCTGTTGGCAATTGTTGAACCTAAAACTTCTGTTTTTTGTGGTAATTAGCATTGTAGATGTCATAGTAGGAACCAAGTATTTACTTTAAAACTATATATTGTTTGCATTGTTTGTTGCTATTATTTGGTTCCCCCTACTATGAGGTTCTGGGAACCTTTAGAGACAGGAAAAGTTTATAAGGTACTAACTCTGTTGTTGAGATCAACGCAACCAAAATATAGCACACCTTGCTCCACAAAGTGGTGAGACTCAATCTTTAGTATACTGTAATATAAAGAATAGAAAAGAGAAAAACACAAATTAAAAACCAGACCCCAAATAGAAATGGTTAGGGGTGGGGCCTCAGGTTCTACCCATGGCATCCACTGTTTTAGCAAAAACAGAGAGAATTAACACAAAGGGATCTCAATCTAGATCACGCTAAGACATATTGGCAAATGAAGACTCTGCCCTAAACAGGGCCACACATGAGTGGAAGAGAAATCCCTCTCCCAACAGATGCATGAAACTCAACACAGGGATACAAAACATGAAAAAACAAGGTAACATGACACCTCCTAAAGTTCATAATTCACCAGCCACTGACCCAAAAGATGTTGAAGTGGATGAAATAACAGATAAATAATTCAAAAGAATGATTATAAAATTGATCAATTAATTTCCAATAGAACAGAAAAAACAATTGAACGAATGAAGAAATCACTACAGGATATGAATGAGAAATTCAATAAGGAGATAGAAATATTGAAAAAGAATCAAACAAAAATTATGGTAATTAAAGACAATAAATCAAATAAATATTTAGTTGAAAGTCTCTCTAATAGATTACATCATGCTATAGACAGAATCTTAGAGCTGAAAGACAACTGGTCAGTCTTGAACAGTCAGACTTTAAATAAAACAAGTAACCATGACAAGAATATAAAAGAACTCTGGGACAATATTAATAGACCAAATTTGACAATCATTGCAATTGAAGAGGGTTGGGAGATGCAGGCTAATGAAATGGATAACTTCCTCAGGGAAATATTATCAGAAAATTTTCCAAACTGTGAGAATGAGATGGATACAGGAAGCATTCAGAACACCATTTACAAGAACCTCTTTATGTCACATTATAATTAAAATGTCAATATACAAAACACAGTTAGAATTTTAGAAGCCTCAAGAGAAAAACATCAAGTCATAGTTAGAGGCAAGCTAATCAGAATCACTTCCAATTTCTTAGCACAAACTCTAAAAGTAAGGAGAGCTTAGAATGATGTATCCTAAGTCTTCAAAGGATAACTCAACCAAGATTGCTATATCCTGCAAAGATATTCTTAAAAATTGAATAAGAAATAAAAATCTTCCAAGATAAGCAGAAGCCAAAATACTTCATGACTACTAAAACAGGACTACAGAACTTAAAGAAATACTCGACATGAAAGAGCTCAAATTCAAATTCAAGAGCTCAGAAATAACAAATGTCATTTGAAGAGGAGCTAAGAAAATGAGAAATGGGACCAAATTAAACATCAATAAATCAAAATGGCAGAAATTAATAAACATCTCTCTATAACATTGAATGTAAATGGTCTCATCTCTCCAATTAAAAGACAGATTCTCAGAATGAATAAAAAAACATGTCCCAACTATATGTTGTTTGCAAGAACTGTACCTTACAGGCAAAGGCAGCCACAGGCTGAAACCGAAAGTATAGAAATTGATATACCACATGAATGGAGCTCTAAAACAAACAAAAGTAGTACTCTCATATCTGACAAAGCACACTTCAACTCATAATTTACCAGAAGAGACAAAGAATGTCAACTCTCACTCATAAAGAGAACAATCCAACAAGAAGATAGAGCAATAACAAATATTTATGATCCAAATGTGGGTG